CGGGGCCGTGGTCCTGCCGTGTGCGCCGTCGCTTTCGGGCGGGCCAGGTCCCCTCGGACAGGAGTGGATCCGAACCGTGGTCTCCTGCCGGGCCCTCTTCTGGAGCTGCCCTCCCCACCGGGAGCCAGCGCTGTCAGCGCTGTCGGGCCGAAGGCCCAGGCCTGTGGTCCGTGCCGACCGCGTGTTGTTCTGCAGTTCCTTGCCCAGCTCGGTTACTTATTTGTCTGGGTTTTACCGTCTTCACCAGGTACGATGTTTTAAAGTTAAAATCGGTGTCTTTTACAACCATAATGTAAAGTGTTCAGGGGGCAACGCACAGACATAGATCGGTGTGTGCAGTGTGTGAGGAGCCGGGGCCGCAGCGTCTGGACTGGGCTCTGGACGACCAAGGGCGGTTCGGGGTAGTTCCGAGCGGTTCCAGGGGATGGGGCCGATGGGGGTCCAGCGCTGACCCCGCGCGTGTCGCGTGTCCGGCGTGAAGTGACTCTCGATCGAGCGTCCTTCCCCGTGGACCCCGCCCGGCCTCTGCGCCGCAGGACCCTCTGCTCCGGGGAGTCGGCAGCGGAGGGCGGCGGGGAGGGGAGGCTGTCGCTGGCTCTGTCCGCTTTTCTCCTTGGAACATTACAGTTGTTGAGGTGGTTTCTCAGCTGCGCCTCGTCTTTTGTTAACTGAACAAACGCTTTCACACCATCGCGATTTTAAATAGTTTGAATCAGAATGATTGAAATAATTCCAGCGATTGGAATTACGTACGTGTGTTACCTCTTGACACTATCCCAGGGAGCGAGTGCGTAACGGAGGTGTGCGGTAGCTGTCTGGTACCGTGGCCACCAGCTGTGTGCTGCTACCTGGATTGAGATGTGCTGTTGTGTACCTTGGGTGTTAAAGATCCAGTGCCCAAAATAAAATATCTCTGGTTTTTATAATTGTATATGTATTTATAGTACTCAAAGCAGTGTTTTTTTGATTTTTGAGACAGGGTCTCACTGTGTATTTCTGGCTGGCCTTGAACTCAGAGCAATCCTCCTGCCTCAGCCTCCCCAGTAAAACAGTGTTTTGATACATGTCTACACACATTTCCTTTTCTATGTAAGGAACTCTCAGCGATTTTTATTTATTTTTATTAGTGCACGGTGGTGGTGCATAGTGACTACATTCACTGTGGGGATTCCTGCACCTGCCTAACACAGCTTCATTCCTTTTCCCCCCCTCCCTCCCCCGCCCTCCCTCTCTCTCTCTCTCTCTCTCTCCCTCCCTCCCTCCTTCTCTCGTTATTAACTTTAACTCCACTCACCCTCCCAGACAGTGGACTCCTGTTCTCCCTGTCTAAAGAGCTGGTGTCCTCTGTCCTCTGACTGCCGTCTCCCGTCGCCTCCGCAGCCCCCGGTGACCCTGCTGTTTCTTCTGAGCCGATGTCTCCAGGTTCCCCAGCGGATGCTTCTCGTCTTGATTGTGTTGGCTTCCGGGCTCTATACTGGTCAACAGCGATTGAGCCACGTTCTAAGGACGTGGGGTCTTGGATGTCATGCCGGCTCCCTGTGACTGTAATCGTTGGTGCTATAAACGTGTACCAATAAAAAATTAAAAAACAAACATGTAGCTTTTTAAATGTCAGCTGCATTTCAGTAAGGTCGCCTTTCTGAAGGGTGCCTGGCTGAGTAAACTCCCGCCTCCCCTCCCGGCCCTGCTGTGCACAGTGCTGTAGCGAGCCCTGCACGGTGGTGAAATTTAGTTCGTGTAATTTGCCCGTCAAGTGTGCAAATCCTGGGAGCACTCCAGAGTGAGGTCCCCCGGGCGGGACTCCGACCTGCCCATTCCCTGGAGGACTGCTCCTCTGTGGAAGCTGCGTTGCTTCAGCCCCTCCAGGGTCTGCACCGAACTGTGGATGGTGGCTGGGCCCCTCCCAGACGGCCTGCACCCCACCCCAGCTTTTCGGGCTCAGAAACACCCCTGGTTGCTTGTGACCGCTTGGCTCGAGCTGCTTTGTCAGTTGCCTGCCTTTGCAGTGTGCTCCGTTACTGGAGCCGAGCGGGGTCCATTCAGTGGCCGAGCGCGTCCCTGGCCATGCACCCCGAGTCCAGGGGCCGTCACGTCACGGTGCGTCCCCTGCTCCAGCGCTTCTGTTTACTAGCCGTGCCGTCTTCAGCAAGACCCGGGGGTTCTCTAAGCCTCTCAGGGCATGAAGACCACAGCGCCGAGCCCCAGCGCCTTCCAGGTTGGGCGAGGTGGGGCCCAGCCCTGGAACATCCCTGCCCGGGCGGTGTTGGTCTGGACTGACCCTGGTGACTCCCCACTGTCCTAATAGACCATGGGCTCGGGCAGGGTGATGGCAGGCCTGTGCGGTAACCCGGGGAGTGTTGAACGTCTGCCATTATGTTTGTGTCCCTCTGAGGTGTTTCTACACTTCGCTTTGTGTCCCTGCTGAGCAGCTCACGCCTGCCTTCCCGAGGCCGAGGGCGGCCACCCTTAGGGATGGGGACAGCACCTCTTTCCGCAGCCCTGAGCCCTGCCAAGGACACGGTGATGGCTGCATTGGGAGGCTCCCAGGGACCACAGATGCGTGCTCCGGCTAACACGGTGCTCAGGGGCGGCCAGGTGAGGGCCACAGCAGCTGGGGTTAGGGTCCCAGCGCCAGTGAGTTTGAGTGGGAGCTGCTGGCAGCGTGGGTCAGCGTGGGCCCAACCTGAGCAGCGTGTGGAGCGGCTGCCTGTGACTGCTGGGTCGGTGTAGATGGCAGGGCGGCCAGCCCAGCAGCCTCTGCCTCCTGGCACTCACGGGTGAGCCCTCCCGAGGGTCACAAGAGCCCAGACCACATGAGAAGCGGCAGTGGGCTGCGGGCCGCCTGTGAGCCGGGGAGAGGGCAGGCAGGAGGGCCTGGAGGGAGCTGTGATGGTGTGGGACAGTGAGCAGGGCCCTTGGTGGAAGAAGAGGCCTTCTCCTAGGCAGAGGTGGGCAGTGGCTGAACCCCACTGCCTGCCCCAATGTGGGGTGCAGAGGGAGGGGCGGGAGTGAAATGGCCAAGTTGAGGTGTGTGCGTGTGGCGGCCCCCAAGACGCATGTATCGTGTATTACCTATGTGCATGAATAAAGAGCTAACACTCTTGCACGTGCGCGCGCGCGCACACACACACACACACACACACAAGAGAAAATGATGGGCACCGCATGAACTCATGAATGAACTGGGGGGCTGGGACTTCTGCCAGGAAGGAGAAAGCGCCGACTGTTTTCTTTCTACAGGGTCCAGAGAAGTGTGAGGACAGAGGCGAAGTGAGCAGGACTGTCCACTGAGCAGAGTTAGAGGAAGCAGCCAGGACCACCCTGCAGGCTCAGGTCGATGTTCCTGTTTACAGTCTATCCACAAAACACGCCTATTTGTTCTTTTAAAAAATATTTTGTGGGAAATTGCTAACTAGAATTGCAATCTTTGGTACGTCACTGTCTGACTCATGATAACTTCTGGTCATATTAGATCTAGTTTTTTGTTTGTTTTGGTTTTGGTTTTTTGAGACAAGGTCTGTCTTTCCAGTTCAGGCTACCCTTGAATTTACCAGGTAGCCCAGGGTGGCCTGGAACTTGTGGTGGGTGATCCTCCTGCCTCGGCCTCCTGAGTGCTGGGATTACAGGTGTGCACTTACAAAAACCTTCCCCGTGTGTGACCTCAATCCTGCTGACAGTCCTGGTTGTCCAGGTAGGACAGGTGTCCTCGGGCCCCTGTGCTGGTCACGCAGCTGTGCGCCCCTCCTCCGCTCCATGCTGTGTGCTGCGGGTGCTTTCTGAGGTCACCGCTGACCTGGTGTTCCGCTCACTCCGGCACGAGGAGACCCAGCCAGAGAGGCAGGTGTGGCAGGCAGGGAAACTCCGCCTCAGCCTTA